GATTTCCTGTCTCCACAGTAGAAGGATTTGGGGGAGCTGGGTCATCCTTTTCCACTGGCAGAAGTTATTTATGACTTGCAGGGAATTAGCATTGGATTAAACCTGTCTAGGCCAAACTGATCTGGACTGCAGCTGAAAGCATGAGGATGCTTAGGATGCTTCTCCTTTATCATTATGTTACACTAATTTCCACAACAGTGGACATTTTGTTCATTAGACAGTACAATTCCATACTGTGTTGTCCACAATGGACAGATGTAAAAGTACATTCAAATACCTGTTGGTCTTCCATGACAGGGCTCCATCCTTGATTTCAGGAAGGGTCTGCAAGGACTACAGATTCCCCCCTCCCTCCGGGCAAGCAATAACTATGAAGTGACAAGAAATCTTCAGACTTGCCTTAGCAGGTTATGATGGTAAAACTCACAATGCTCTGATTGATGAAGCATTTTTTCCTTTCCTTTTTCTCTGCTAAACTCTGGAAGTAAGTCTGCCTATTCCATTCTACATTCCCCATACTTCATAGTTATATTTAAAATACTATGTATAGCCAGCCTCAAGTTCTGCAAACACTTAACAATGCACTGCAGTCACAACTGTGTGACCCATTAAATCACTTGGATTATACAGCCATAAGACATTTGTAATATATGTGCCTGATCAAGCAATAAATCTCCACTGCACATTTTCCACCAGTTAGTAATGTTAGTGAGGCTGTGGTGACTCACCCGAGATGATGTCATTAAAATCCTGCAGAGGATTATTTTAGTCCCACAGTTCTCATGGAGCAATTCTGACTCCAGAAAACAGCTACTCAGATGGGCTCATTGTTCATACACAACCATATTTAGTCTTTAACCATCCAACACTCAGGAAGTATTTTCTGTTTCTAGTCCAATCTATGCATATTACTTTATTTTTCAATCTTTGATGGCTTGCAAATATATGAAGCGACTACACTGAGGAGTTCCTGAGTTTCAGGAGAGATGAAAGATTTATTAGTGGTTTAATCTGTGATCTCATTAATACACGAAAGTCACTTAAGGCTGCAGACCTCAAGGGATAAACAGTCATGAATGAAGTTATGATCACTAATATACACATCTGCAAGCAAGTAGCTTTCAATGGAACATACATCTCAATAACTTAGATTCTTAGGAGCTAACTTAGGTTAATGCAAAAATGCTTTTGTCAGGAACAGTCTCTCTCCCTCTCCTGGAGATTATTTTATGTAACATGAAGTTTGCACTGACACTATGAAAAGCTGCATCATGCAGATGGTTCCTGGCTGAAACCAGAAGCTTGTCATTCAAAGTATGTTGCTGTGTTTGTGTCAACAGCATCAAAGGCTTCCAGCTTCCATGAGAGGTGAAGGTTTAAAATGCACTGACCTTGTCAAAGTTTGATGTTGTTTTCCAAAACACCAACGAGGAAGACAGTGCCAAAAGAACATACCTGGTCCTAGCAAGGTGGACTTTCTGCCTTCTGATTGATTTATATATTTTTTTGTCTCAGAAAATTCATCTTCTAGAAAACAGGACCAGAACAGATATTCCCTAGCATAGAACATGGCTTTTCTAAAATACATCTCTTACTACATATTCAATTTCAACAATTTGCTTCCAAAAATACATGGGTGAAGACACTTCATTACTGTGTGAGGCTGCAGAACACTTATTCATACTGACTGCAACCACAGCTATGCACATGTTCTGCACATGTGGAAACAGTTGTGCAGTTTAACACAAAACGAAAATAATCAAAGCATCTCTTTGATTTTTTAATGAATGTTACTGCAGAGTTAAATATCTTCTTTTTAGTACAGAACTTGAAAAGGTCTTTCCCCTTCTCAGATTTGATACATTACTTCAACAGGTATAAATCAGAATGAACAGAAAATGCTATATAACTGACAGAATTCTAATAGGACAGTAGTTTTGTTTTTTTATTTTAAAGGGGCACAGTAAATCAAAATCAGGAACAGAGTAAGTTAAGTCCAACCTTAAAGGGAAACAACTGATTAAAATTTAAGAAATTAAATGAACATGCCTAGTTTTAACTACATATACATATTCATAGTACAGAGACCTTTGAGCTCATTATTCTGATTTGTATTCACATGTAACAAAATTTCATAAGCCTAGTTAAGGGAGGGGAAGTATTAGAACTTAAAAGTAGATATGGCTGTTCTCTTTTACTGACAAATCTCGCTGAGACCAATCAGAGTTACCAGTAGAAGCAACTTCAGTGCATACTGGACAAGATGATAAAGAAAAATTCAAAGCAATACTAAGTTCTTAACAGCAGAACAGGAGAATGGAATATAAAAAATGGACTACAATATTTATACCACTCATAACATTTTTGCCTACCAGAATGCAAACATCCTCAAGTCTGCAAATATTCCTCAATTATTCTTCCACAATTTTCTTTAAAAGTATCACCAAGTTTGTAATCTAACAAAATCTTAGTTCACTAAATGAATGATAGGTATTTTTAAATTTGCGCTTAGAGAACAATCTCTAAGATCAAAAATACCTTCTGGCAAGGAAACAGTACAGATTTCAAATCCCTCATCTGATTGTTTCAAAGATTCTGTGATATGAATAAATATGCAATGTCTCATATCTCAGCCACTACACAAACACTTTCTAGGAAACTCAAGGAAGCTAAACATGTTACTAAAATCAACATAACATGTAAGTACATAGCTAGAAACCTAAGCTCCATTAGTTCAAACAGGATTTGGGGGCACTTTAGTTTTCATGATTGCACCTACTGTCCATACAATGCCACTGTACAATGTTCCATAAAGTACGCCCATTTCTTGCTTCCAATCTTTTTTTTCCCTGTCATGTCCTGAGCAACAGGGGAAGTGATCATCTGTTATTACTGTAGATCCAGTTTCTGTCACTGGTAATAATATCTGAAAAATAAATCAATTATCAAACTTCAGAGCATGGTGGAAGACAGGGGGGCCTGGCGTGATGTGGACCATGGGGTCGCGAAGAGTCAGACTCGACTGTGCGACTGAACAGCAACAACAAATCAATTTCAGTGGGGACTGAATTCATTAGTGGTCTTGAAGCCACAGTTTATTCAAAATCCTCCAGGATTTCCAATGCTTTGCAAGGTGCAATAAATAAAGCTACACCTCTGTTATGAGGGCTTTGAAGGGAAAATATGCATATTACCAAAATCCCATCATTGGTATTTTTGACACTATGGAATGGGGTGAGATATGGAAATGTAAACCAAATTGTTAACACCAAAATTTAATGAGTACTTTCCCTGTTTTTAAACACAACACAGTGAATGGAAGATTTCTTTTACTTACCGTGAAGCTTTCTTTCTCAGTGGTTCAGGAGTGGGACAGTCCTTACTCTTGGGATAAGCTCCTCCTCCAGTAGCAGGGTCAGCTTCAAGCTTTGATTCAGGCAGGGAGGGGCTTACCCCCTGGAGGCTTCCCAGGTGAATCCAAGCCCGCTTCTCCCCACAAGAAAAATATTAGAAGAACACTTCTCCAAACTGGAGTAACTACTATAAAACAGTGAATCATCCAATGAACTAACGTAACTACAAGGAAAACCTGCCTTTACAGTTCACAGTGATGAGAGGAAGAATCCCTCCCCCTACAACCTGTGTCTGATCTACCAATCAGTTGTGTTTAGCCTGATACTTTGCAATATGCCCCCCCCCCCGTAAACTGGTGAAGCTACACCCACAAAATTGGGCGGGCAGGACTGTCCCACTTCTGAACCACCAAGAAAGGAAGCTTCACTGTAAGTGAAAGAAACCTTCCATTCTCCAGTGGTTCAGATAGTGGGAGAGTCCTTACTTTTGGGACGCAAAAAAGCAGCGTGCCCCATGGGATGGTCATTTCACTTCCCCATTTACAGGATGTGTTGCAACACTGCAACTGAAGGCCACCTCTGCTGATGCCAACTTATCCACCCTATAATGCCTAGTGAAGGAACGTACAGACTTCCAAGTGGCTGCTCTAGAGATTGTTTCCAGTGAAGGGAACAAATGGTAGGCTGCTGACGTTGCTGCTCCCCGTAAAGAATGTGCCACAATTCCCTCAGGAGGTTCTAGTTCCTTGGCCTAGCAAGCTAAGATAATGTAGCCCTTAATCCATCTGCTAAGGGTAGCAGTTGAAACCTGTCCCCCCAAGGAGGACTTTCTAAAAGACACAAAGAGTGTTTCTGACTTTCTCCAATGCTTAGTCCATCAATATAGCGCCCCTCAAACATACAGGCAATGCCATTCCCTTTCTTTATCATGTATAGGGTTTGAGCAGAAAGATGGCAAAACAACTTCCTCTGCTCTATGAAAAACGGTGTTCACTTTAGGCACAAAAGCTGGATCTGGATAAAGTACCACCGTGTCCCTGTGAAAAACACAAAGTTCCCTATTGACTAACAGTGCCCTCAGCTCCAACACCCTACGTGCCAAAGTTATGCCCACCAAAAATAACGTTTTATAGGTCAGTTCCTTTAGAGGGCATGAAACCATTGGTTCAAAGGGATGTTTATACAAGGCCCTTAGTACGGTATTCAGATTCCAGGTAGGGAACCAGTGTACCTGAGGTGTGTTTATTAAAGTGGTACCTCTCAAGACTCTTTTAACATGAGGATGGTGAAGCAATGACCTCCCATGTCTTACTCCCTGTACAGCTGATATGGCCGAAACCTGTCTCTTCAATGTGCTAGTACTAAGACATTTGTCTAAGCCATCCTGCAGGAACCGCAGGATAGCGCTGACTGAGGCTTTGAGGGGTTCTATCTCATGTTCCACACACCAGGAGTGGAACACCTGCCAGATGGTGTTGTAAACCCTGTTGGTGGATCCTTTTCTGGATGCTAACATGGTTGCTATAACCGTATCTGAGTATCCCATTTCTTCTAACAGCTGCCACTCAACCTCCATGTTGTGAGGTTGAATATTTCCAGTTGACAATGTCGTGTTAGTCCTTGTGTCAACAGATCCTCTTAAATGGGCAGATGCCATGGTTCCACTATTGAGAACTTTTTAGGTCCTGAAACCATGCTCTTTGTGGCCAAAATGGTGCTACCAGTACTACTTTCACCTTCTGTTGACATATTTTTTGTATCACTCTGTGCATTATCTGCACTGGCAGGGAAGCGTAAAGCCGACCTTGTTGCCAGTCGCAATTGTCCTATGGCCTGATCGTTTCATGTTCTGGAGAAGAGCTCTTGAATTTGACGCTTTGACTCCGTCACAAATAAGTCCAGTACTACCGTCCTGAACCTGTCACAGATCTGAGTGAATACTGCCTTGTTCAATGTCCACTCTGACTGGTCCAGACGTCTCCTGCTCAGTCAGTCCACCAGCCTATTGTCTTTCCCTGCCAAATGTATTGCTTTCAGTGATAGTAGATGTCTCTCTGCCCAGATAATTAATTCGGTCGCTTCCTTGTGTAGGGTCCACGGTCTGGTCCCACCCTGACAGTTCACATATGCCTTTGCTGTCATATTGTCCATCTAGACAATACATGCTGTCCTGACAGCCGTTTGCTGAACCTCAATAAGCCCAGTCTTATCGCCCTGAGCTCTAGGAAGTTTATGCTTCTCAACGTCTCATCCTGAGACTATTCTCCCTACGTCATCTGTCCTTTCGAGTGGGCTCCCCACCCTGAAAGACTTGCATCTGTAGTCATCACTATTCTTGGAGGGTTTCGTAGCAGAGATCCCTGTCAGAAGCGGAGCGGTTCCGGGGCTTCCGGTCTGGTCTCTGTGAATGGCGGTCACAACTCTGGGAAGCTCCCGGAGGTGATTCGCCCACACGCGGCTAAGGGGGGAATCCGCACAAGCAGAGACCCTAAGGAGCCTCAGGAAGGGGCTCCGATCCGGGGCGCTAAGGGGATGTGCCTCTTTCCCGGCCCGAAGGTCGGAAATTGAGGCTCGCCCCATGCCCCAATGGCCCTTGCTGCGGCAGTGCCCTGCACGGGGACTAGCAGAGTCGCCGGACGTCACAGAGTGATGAAGCGAGGAAGTGAAAGCACAAAGAAAGAGACAAGCGGCTAACTGTGAGTTGGAGATCGAATTACAAGCTACCGGCGAAAGCACATTCCGTCCCACGGGAAAGCCAGAGGGAGGATTCCCCCCCCCCCACTCGAGAAAGAGACTTTTTTGAAAGCAAAAAGGGGGGGCAAAGGGAAGTTTGGAAAAAGTAAATTACCTTTTGGGAGAGGGCTGAAAACGGAGTAGGGAGTGATCCCTCTGCTGCGCAACACAAACTTTTAAAAAGTAAACAAAAACTGAAAATGGCGGGGCCGAAAAAGTTCTTGGAGAGGCAGACAAAGAAGACGGGAGGAACTTCCGTTCTTAGTCCTTCCCCTGCAGGGGCTGCTGTCAATCAGCAAGAAGGTGAGATGCTCCGCCCTCTGCTAGATGAACTGCAGAAAATTAACCAAAAACTGGATAGCATGGAAAGTGCCTATAGTATTCAACAGAAGCAGATGACAGAGACAGCCAAGAAGGTGGATGAGATTGCAAAGAAATGCCTGGTATCAACGGAAGAAATACAGAAAGTCAAGAAGAAGGTCAGTAAAGTGGAAAAACACCAAGAGAAGCAGGATAATAAACTATTATTGCTTCAAATGGAAAAATCAAACCTGACTCTTCGATTTCAAGGGTTGAAAGAATCTGAAAAGGAAGACCTCAGAGACATCCTGGCGAATGCGTTGGCACCACTGACTGGCAGCGAAGCGGAAAAAATAAAAGATGAGATGGATTTGGCCTATAGAGCCTACTCCAACTTTACAAAGAAGAATAACCTGCCAGCAGAAGTGGTTGTGAAATTTACCAAGCAGCGTCTCAGAGATCAAATTTTAAAAGCAGCATCATCAACACCTTTGAAAATTAGAGACCAGACGATCAGAATTTTGAAAGATGTTCCATTTGAAATTAGAATGAAGAGAAAGGAATATAAAGGGTTGACCATGTTCTTGCAAAGCCACCAAACTAATTATAAATGGTTGATACCCGAAGGACTCGTCCTTAAGTTTAAAGACAGAAGAGAAAAGATAGACTCCATCTTCAAGGCTCAAGACTTTTTGAAGAGGCACGCCAGCTCAGAGGACGAGGCAGAACTCGCTAAGTGGATGGCAGGAACTAGCAAAGAAGACAGCAGCTCGGAGGGAGAGGTGAAAGATGAGGAAGACAAAGGAGCGGCTAGAGGGCCAAAATACAATTTAAGAGGCAAAAAAGGGAAGCACCCCAACGTTTGAGAACCAGTTCGGAAAGCGCATTAAAAGACAATACTAACCCCAAAGGGACACTATTAACACACTAACCGGTTTTGAAAGATATAGAAGAAAAAGGGATTGTCCCGCTGCAGAAGAAGATTTTGACTTTACTAATAAAAGATTAAAATACTAATTTTTAACATCACTCAACACTTTTCTTTATCCCGCTATATACCCTTCCTAACTTTCTGAAATGTAAAAGCAATAAAATTCTCTCCTTTTTAGGAGAGGGAAATTTTTTAAAAAAGAAGAAGCAGCGGAGCGGTTCCAACCACCACCTTAGCTGTTGATGCACGTTTTCTGGGAGTTGTAGCATTTTTTATCACTTGCATGCTATCTCCTCCTGGTAAGGAAACAGAAATCTCTGAAGTGGTCTGGCATGGAACTGAGACTACTGTACAATTTCTTGACAGGATACCATCATGCCCAAAAGCTTGACAAGAACCATCAACTCTGTCCTGGCTTTCTCTAGCACTTCCGGTAACAGGGACTGAATCCTCTGTTCTCTTTCCTGGGATAGAAACACTCTGTCTTGCATTGAGTCTATTTGTACACCCAAATGAATCAACCTTTGAGTTGGCTGAAGGTTGCTTTTTTCCATGTTGATTACAAACCCGTGATCCCTCAGGGTAAGGACCATTAGACTGGATGCTTTCATGCTCTCCTGAAATGATGGTGCTTTGATTAGAATGTCGTCCAGATAAGGAAAGCCAGTTGGGTTCCTCATAGCAGGGAAGTGATAAAAGCTGTGAACTGCAACGTACTCGCACTTATCCATTTTTATTTTACCAAGGGTAATCAATATGTTCCTGCAGCTATTAGAGTATTCAATCATAAGATTAGTGCAAGGTTGCTTTATGGAGTACCTATTTGGATCAAGGCCTTCAATAAGGAATTGGAAAGAATACAATTTAATTTCCTTCGAAAAATACTGGGCCTACCCATGTGTGTGCCTTATGCGGCCATCTGCCTGGAAACTAATCAAAGGCTCCTTGAAACTAACGCATGGATCAATACTATCAAATTTTGGCTACATCTACATTTTAAGAATAATGGTAGCCTTATTTTTCATATGCTGACGGAGTCTCAGTCTTCGATGTGGTTAACTGCATAGAAAATAAGATCAATTCAACAGGGATCAGTATTGATGATTTATCCTCCCTTACTCAATTTTTCTGATCCCATTTGAAACTCTGACCCCTGCTCTGAATCATCCTTGGGTTAGGCCATAAGATCTAAGGTCTTCAGGACCTTTAGCAGGAGGTGTGCATACAGCTCTTGAGGAAAAGCCTGGATTGCGCAGATGGCATCACCACCTCTTCTTCCTTTGAGAGTTTCCCATCCTTTTGCTCCAAGGAGGAGTCTGTAGAGTAAGACTCTTCTTCCCCGCTATCCAAGAGGGGACTATGTTCTCTAGAGGGAGATTTATTTCACCTTTTTTGTTTAGGTCTAGGAGGAGATCTAGAGGTGCTTGATGACTCATCTTCCCAATGATGTCTGGACCTCTTTGTTGACCTACCCCGTTCTATGAAGAATCTGGAGGGAGCAGACCCTTGTAAAGTTTCCTGTAACGTATCTTTAAACTCCCTTCACATATCAGTTCTGAACCAATTTAGAAGTTCAGTCTTAGTATCCTCCCTTGCTTCCATATCTTGTGCCTCCATTGGTTCCTGTGTGGCTATAGATACAGAATGTCTGGGTAGGCTCAGTTCGCTAAAGGAGTTCTCCCTGTCTTGGGAACTGATTTGTTCAGTCTTATCAGCCATCCCTCTTAGCCTGCAAGGGGAAAGTGAAACAGAAAAACCACCATGAGGACTGCTACTAGGAAACAAAATGGCCACCGCCATTTCCCCCACCTAATCCTTGCTCCCTATTGCCCTTTACAGAGTTGGCTAGTCACTACTAACCTTACCTGGAGATTTCCCCTCCAAGTATTAGCCTGGGCCAACCTGTTTCAGAGCTATTTAGGCTGCACGTTGGTGGGGAATCCCCCCCCCCCGACTCCTCAGCCTCTTCTAGGGGAAAGCCTTGGGTCCTCCAGGCTTCCCTAGCCTCGTTCCCTCTCCCTCCTGGAAACCATCCTCCCTTGGGGTGGCCTTGGGATCTGCCCGGTGCAGGCAAGGAAGACTCACCGCAGCTCAGACGAGGAAAGGGTTAGCTTCCCGTCCATAGAGCTACTCAGCCAGTCCAATTGTACCGCGGTCAGGGAGGTAGCCAGTTCGTTGGCATCGCCCCACTGCCAACCACAGACTGTACCGCACCCCTTGGACCTTAAAAGGGAAGGCTCTTCACCCAGAGGCCAGGGGGCGTCTGCCAAGAGCTGTTGATCCTTTGTGGCAGCCAGGGACCTCCCAGTGCCAAAAGCTCTCTCCTTTTCCATGCCACCGATATTGCACCCGCTGGTGCTGCGACCCAACTTCTTTTCTCTTTCTTCTTTGCTCACTGCACTGACTAGCGCAGCCAAAGCACGTCCTGCTCTGAAGCAGGGCCAGGAAAAACTGGGAAGCCTCCAGGGGATAAGCCCCTCCCCGCCTGGATCAAACCCGACCCTGCTACTGGAGGAGGAGCTTATACCGAAGAGTAAGGACTGTCCCACTATCTGAATCACTGGAGAAAATGGGTAAAATAAGAGAATGAAAACAAGTTTGCCTTTCAGTTCCAGCATCACCCACTAAAGTAGACCCTTGCAGATAGATTAGTCAGTGATGACTTTTGCAGTCCTCCTTACTACTGTTCTCATTTTCAGTGTTTGAAGTCATGAGTGACCGATGATTTGAGTTGATGCCAGACTATACAGTGAATTAATGGCTGAGAAGAAAGTTAAACCCAAGTCATCTTGGTCTCAATCAAATGCTCTTTCTAGTCCCTCATTCTAATCCTCACTCTTGCGTGCATTTCTCCAGCCAAAAGAGGAAAGCTTTGACATTAAAAGGAGTATTATATATCCCTTTCCTTTTACCTGTTGATACTCCTGGTGGGGGGGACAGTATTTGTCTGCTCAGTGGATGCTGGACAACTTTCATTAGTCTAAATTCTGGTGAAGCTTTAATGATACAGCAGATTTCTGGTGGATGATGCAGATACTGAAAGAAAAGGATCACGACTGGAAATTATGCATTTGTTGATCTTTTAAAAGGAATTTAAGTTTCCTAAAATAAATATATGTAAGCACTCACTCATCAAATCAAAAGGGTCTCACTCTAGTGTGTTGCACTAGCCCTCTTTGGTCAAAGACTGGTGCAACATTGGTAGAGCAGTAGGACTGATAGAGAAGCACACTCACCACATTCAATATAATGTACCTTTCCTTCTCCAGGATCACACTTTCTGGGGAGGGGAACCCAGGTCTGCAAAAGCGCAGCTTAGTTGTGGATAGAGCTGAACAAGAAGCATGTACTATGATAATGAGGCATTTCTCCGCAAATCTCTGGAACAGTCTGGCAATTGATTTTAAATACATTAGGAAAATAAGAAGGTTGAATGAATAATGCATGTGCTTTAAATAGATAAATCAGGCAACTCAACTGAAGGAGGGAGAAAAGAATGCTACCAATGGCTAACCCAGTCTGGTAAACTGAAGGAAAGTAGAAAGCAAGTAATGAACTTGTTGGGTTTTCTTAAACATTACATGTGTTTTTGAAGTTCCAATAATCTGAGCTTTGAAATCCTTTGCATGCTGTTCCAGTGTGTATGAGCACCGCCAACATATTTTAGGTTGCCACCATCACAAAAGGGAAAATAAATTACATATAACCTGAAAAATACTGCTCTCTGGAGGTGCCGGAACAGTTTCTCCCAGATGTAGGCTAGTTGTGTTTGAAAAATTTTCATTGGCGGCAGCTTTCTGCACTGACAAGGTGAGCTACATAAATTCAAAACAAACACACAAACCATTACAATTAATACAGCTTCACCAGTACATTTCAAGTATACTTCGAGTCATGAGGAAGCAGGACAGTCAGCCTCTTCCTCAAGATAGTCATCCCAAGTAGGGGCTCTTCTTAAATCCACTGGTTTCAATGGATTTAGAAGGATGTGACCTCAATGGCACAGGCTAGCCCAATCTCAGAAGCTAAGCAGGGTCAGCTCTGGTTAGTATTTGGATGGGAGACCACCAAGGAAGTTCAGGGTCACTACACAGAGGCAGGCAATGGCAAATCACCTCTTGCCTTGAAAACCCTACAAGATTTGCATATGTTGACTGTGACTTGATGGTAGTTTCCACCACCATCAATTCCACTTAGGATGGTACTGTCAGTCCCTCCCACCCAACTCATCTCAACATGATCCCAGGTATAATGGCAGCTGGTCATTGAAAAAAAAGGCACAAGGTATATAGGTATTATATGTGAACTTATGAAAATGCAAGATGATTACACAGTCCCTGAATGTCTATCAATCTTCAGATTCACTGCCTTTATTAATAAGGCAACAACAGCAATCTAGTATTCCAAACCTGTGTGGAGTAACTGATAAGCGGATCTAGTTTAATTTCGTTCATTACTATCTCACTCTTCCATGAAGGGGTTCAAGGCAACATTCACGTTCCTTCTTCATTTTTTTTTCATAACAGCCTTCTCCGGTAGGTTAGGCTGAGAGAGTATGACTAGTCTAAGACCACTCAGTGAGCTTCCATGGTAGAGTGGGGATCCTTCATGGTTCTAGTACAATACTTTTAAGTTTAACCACTAAACAAGGGCTCTGCTACATGTATGTGAGATTGGGGCACAAATTCAAATCCCTGCAGCCATAAAGTTCATCATGAATCAGTCACTCTAAGTCTAAACCTCTCTTGAGAATGCTGTGAAAATTAAGAAGGGGATTCATGTAAGGTGCCCCGTGCTCCTTGGGGAGAGAGTGGGATATAAATATAAACAGTACAGATGGAAGGCAGATTAGTTTGCAGCTGGAGTAACCAAGAAAGTTGAAGTTTACATCCCCACCCCCCCCCCCCCCCCACCCCCAAGCACTATATCATGTGTGAAAATTGAATGTATCCATTTGGCCACATTTAGAAGCTGCAAAATACAGCCATCTTCTACATATATGTAATCAGAAACACTGCATTCATGTGGGGAATTAGGCAAGGAGTTGTGCCTCATGGTAGAGCCCACACTATGTATGCAGAAGATATACTGTTCAGGCCCTGGGATAACCAGTTAAATTACCTCAGGTAGCACTGTTCAAAATTACATCTCCCTGCCCAAGACCCTAGAGAACTCAAAATTGGCTTCCAGGAAAAAACACCTGGGGTAAAAGGGGTATCAAAAGAAATGGAACCCCCCCAGGGGGTGCAAAAAAATGAACTAAAGGCACAAAAAACCATGTGAAAATCAAGGAATAAATTGAAGCAGTATGAGTTCAGAACTGACAGAAAGACCCCATATGGAAAAGCCCTTAGTATAATGCATATTTTAATTCCTGCACAGATGGTATTTTCCATGTATGACATTATCAACTGATATGGCCACACAGTTTTCACAGTTATTTAAATACCCTGAGAAACATTTCATGTCAGGTACATGGATAATATTGCTAACTGGTTTTGAAAAGTCTGAGACGGTTTTTAAAAATACTGATAAATACATTTCATTCCATTTTACTGTACACATGGGGGGAAAGTGCTAAGATTTCTGGTTGTAGGAATGCTGAATTCATTAGCAATAAGAAGAGCTGTGCTGGATCAGACTAGTGTGCCATCTAGTCCAATGTACTGTTTCACACATTGGTCAACCAGTTGCTCTAGAAGGTCAAACAAACAGAACACAGAGGCCAAGGCCTTCTCCTGATGCTGCCTCCCAGCATGGTAGTCAGAAGTCAAGGCTCTAAGAAATGCTTTAGTCTTTCCTGTAATTGCTGCATTGGAACTCATCTCCTATACAGACATAAAATCAAAGAAACTACCAATTTGTTCTGCTGCTCATCTGCTATTGCTTCCTTTGTACAAAAGGTCATTCTACCTGCAGTTCCATTCAGATTCTACCTTTATTTCAAAACTGAATTCCTTCACAGGAAGGAAATTCATGTGATACCAATTCTTCTCTGAATGGCTCACATTTAACCTAACCACATTTAACCTGTGAATCCTTTTTGAGAGCAGCAGCGAACACTCTTAACCTTACATGTATTTCCATGAATAGTTCTTAATTAAATGAATTCAGGATTTAGACAATGAAATTATGTAGACAGGAGCTAGATATGTTGGGTTGACTACTGGGGAGAGTCATTATGATCCCAAAAAGAGGATATTATTCTACAAGGACCTGGCCTAGGGTTGCCAAGTGGAACTTACCTTGGTGGCGGGGGACTCCCGGGTGGATCCCATGGCGCGCGCACTGCACATACGCCACCAGGAAGTGACGTTATGACGCCAGGCATGCTGGGGGCGGGACCACGACCCACAAAGGAAAACCATAGTTTTCTCCCTTGTATGGCTGTGGCCCCACCCCCAGCGTGCCCGCGTCACTTCCGGGTGATGCGCACGTCGGGGAGGAGTTCCCCCCGGGGCCTGATCCGGTGGCGCCGGGGAACGGGCCTCTGGGGCGGGGGTTTCCCCACCCCCCGGAGGGACTTGGGATCCCTAACCTGGCCTCAAATGCCATATCTAAAGACACTCTATGCGGCCACAGAGAAGTCACTGGCCACTGTCCAAAGCAGAATAAACCATACAGAAGCCCAATGTTTCAATAAGCTGTAGTGCAGTTAATATTGTCTCAGACTGTGAGCCCACACCCTGCCACACATCTGGGTTTTAGTCTGCTACTGATAACATGGAAATAATAATCTAGAGCCAACTACATATAACTGTCACAGAACACAGATCTGTGATATAACACTAGAGGCAATGTAGCTCTTGCACAGTAAGTTTTAGATAAAGATCTTGTGTGGAGGTAGATCTTTCATGGAAGGAGGCTTCTCTGAAAACAATGAGACAGAGTCCAACTAAACAGTCACTGAGACAGTAATAGTTATTCTGAAAATTAATAAGTATTCAATACATTTCGTTCTCTCAAGTAAACCCTGCAACAAACCCGTAAGGTAGACTATAAAAGGGGATTAGGATTCATCACCACAGAATTCCTTTCAGTGCAACCAGGTCATTAATATTAGGGTAAAATGACTCTGTAATGGGATATTATTTTTGAAAGCACAGTACAGAATCTAAAAAAAAGCCACACCAAAGCAGGAGTCTCCAACATGGTGCCCACGGACACCATGGCACCTGCCAGCACCTTTCCTGGAGCTCGCCAAGTGTTTTTAGAAAGTGAGCAGGGCACGGTGGGGCTTTTGCCCAGTAAGGCTTCTGATAGGCCATTGGAGATCTGATTGGCTGTGCAGATTATTAAAAACATCACTTTGGCAGCAGCTCACACCACAGCACAAGGATTTTCACTGTATCACTGAAGGTAAACTGCAGCAGCCATTTTGTGGTTGGCTCTGTCTCCTGCTGCAGCCACTCCGAGGCAGTCATTTTGTGGCTGCACCCACCATACTGTGTCAGAATTCCAAAGGTGACAAAGTTTCAAAAAGGTTGAGGACTACTGAACTGAAGAGTTTAATGAATTTTAAAATTATTTTTATAATGAAAACTGCAGGATCAACTGGTATGTGCATTCCTGGGACTTGAAAATAATAATGGCCTACTTATTTTCTGCACATCCATGGAAACCTCCAATATTGTTACCTAGCCCAAAAGGCCCCTATTAATATCAGTTATGGGCAATGTTCCCTCTAAGCTGCGGAGTCTTGTGAACAAAAATTCTACTTTGTGAGCTCCTGGCATTAAAGTTGTGAGCGAGCGATTTGGCTACTGCATAAATTAGTTTGCCCTGGAGCCATCCTTCCTGAGCTAAGACAAAAAATTGTGAGCTGGAGGCTAAAAAACTGAGTTGGCTCACATTAACTCCTCTTAGAGGGAACACTGGTTATGGGTGTACTCTACCCAAAAAGTATCTTTTGTCCATATAAAACCAAAGGAATGGGGCAGCATCAGGTCTCTGAAATTTAAAACCTCAGAAGCTTGGGAGCACAGTGCCACAAGAACTGTTGACCTTGGGAACTCAGAGTGAGGGGAAATGGATAATTTATCTGTTCTCCTCTTCTTGAGGTGCTGGAGGAGGGCCTCCTCCTTCTCTCGGGGCCCCTGGGAGTGGCCGGGGAATGGGATGACGTGGAGTCAGGTGGCGATAGATCCATCCCAGCTTCGGCGAAGGGAGCGGCCACAACAGCTGAGCCGTCCCAGCGGGAACCGTTGAGGGTCTCGAACCGCGGGAGTCGATGCCTGAGAGGGAAGCCCCGGAGTGGCTGGGGAATTGTGGACCCCGACTACATAACAACCGAGCCTAAGGAACCGGAGGACTTTGGAGATCGGGGAGTTGAACTCTGATCGTTCAGCTGGGCTGGATGGGGTGTACAGAGTGCCCCTAGTGGCCGGTCCAAGGAACAAGCAACTGCTGAGGAGAGTTGCTTCCTTTCCCCTTGGGGGGAGACCTGAAGCCTGGAGGCTGCTGTTGGACAGTCCTCTAATGCTAGAGGTGGTGGGTCATCTGCACTCTTGGCAGTTGTGGAGGTAGCAGCGGAATCCTTTTCCATTTGGCAGCAGTTTTTGAGTGTTTGTGGGTGGATGTGATTTGTGATTTGTCTGCTGGTAGGATTATGAATGAGTGCTGTATGAGTGATGAATGTGGTTGTTGATTCTGATTCCAGGGATTTACAATGTTTAGATAGTTAGGATTCTCTGGTATGACCTGTTTTGTATAACAACACTCTGATTGTTTTTATTAGCAGTAGATTTAGATAGAGTTTAATCTGTTGTCTTGGGAGTGAATCTTGCTGCTCTCTGTCATCCACTCCACTGGTGGC